GGGGGTGGGGGGGGTGGTGTAGAAAAATCCACAAAACCCCCACTGCAATCTAAAGAATACCCGACAAAAATCGTTTCCATGTACATTTGCCCAATACAAGACAAAAGATCTCTAGCATTAGATCTAAAGTCTAGCATCATCCTAACTTAAGAAAAATTTGGTGGTATGATCTAGCAAGTAAAGGCACTTAGAAAATTTAGCCTTGAAGCAAATATTAACGTAAAGCACATCCAGTCACATGTGTAAGATGTCTCATCAGCTTCTGAAGTATGTGCAATGACTTTAGACTCCAGAAGTAACTCTCTATAATACCACCAGTATTACTCGGATATATAGGTGTCCTTCGGCCTTTTTTTTTTTTCCCCAGGAATATAATAAACTGTTGCTTATAAACTTTCTCATTTATCTGTTATGTATTTTAGAAAATTAAGACATAATCCAAACCATCATATCCACATCAGAGTATCCTAAATTGTGGCATTACATCCTTTTTACCTGGTGTCTTAAAAGCATTAGTCACAATTTCTTAAACAGGAATGGTCTGGCTGCTGTTCAGTTCTTTCAGGCCAGGGAAGCAAGAACAGGACACAAGTGTTTACAGTGGTCAGAAGATGGCAAACCACTGCCAGCCACTGAGAGTGGATCCAATCCTCCAGAGTAGAAGAGTGAATGGAAGCACTTACAGCAAATAATTACAACCACCCTCCTGGAAGAAAGATGCTGCTGCAAACTCAAGTGGTTTTACGAGGACAGGTGTGCCAAAAGGAGACTGCACTTGCCAAATTTTTTGAAAAATCAGGTTTAAAGACTGAACATTGCAAAGTGTGGTAGCCTTGTTTGTGGTTTGTTTTGGGTTGCTTTTTTAAATTTAGTCTTAAGGCTATGGTAGTTTCAGTAAACACCTTTTCGTTGGTTAAAGCTGTCCTTTTTTGTTTCTTTTTAAGAGTTCAAAACTTCCTTATTTCTAATTCTCAGTTAAAACCCTGTTTGCCAATTCTGTCTTACAAAGAATTATACAATTAAATAACTATAAATACGCTTAACAAATAGTAGGATCTTATGGCTTACCAGTGCATTTATTGGGAAACAACAGCACAAATTTTATTATCTTAATCTGTCACAGGTTTCCAAATGGGCAAAACACAGCAACAAGATAAGCAGGACAAAACCACTGGGAAAATTGTGGATATTCAGATGCTTCTAAGGCAACAAGACTTACAATTAAATAGTGCACCTTTATTCACCTGAACTCATATCAAGCATCAAAGCACAAGAGCCTTAATAAAACATGAAGGCAAGAGATTCTTCATTAGAATCTGGAGCCTGCTTTTACATTTCAGAAGACAGCAAGGAAAAAGGTATGATATTACGTATGAAAGTTTTATACATACTGAATGGATCTTAATTCCCAGAGGGGAAGTTTATATCAAAGCTGAGGCTATGAGAAAATGGCATCAGATACATGCCCAAAAGCCACAACAAAACTGCCTGATGCAACTCCCCATGACAGCAGAAATGTCTGGAAGTCTGCAGTGAAAATCCTGAAGAGAGTATACAAACTCAAGCATCACAACTGCCATCAGTGAGCTCCTGACCTCAATCACAGCAACCAAAATAACTGCTTTCTAAATGCCATAAGAAGGTTGATTTTAAATATGTAATCCTAGCTGTCAGCATTAAAAAACATGCCCTCCTGGGGTTTATTGTTTGTTAAGAGACAAAGTCACATTGGATGCTGTAGAAACACTGTGAAGACGTGTCAAAATATTTTATTCTGCTAATACCCTGAAAATGTAGAAATTCCTCTTTTTGGTGATAAAATAATTATTTTGCCTAAGTGAACACAATAACTGTTACTTTGTCAACCACTCAGAGCTATGTTTTATATAGCCGTACTGCTGGAAGAGTTCTAGTTGGGTGACATTAGATAAATAAAGTTAGTCCTCATGAGGTTCAAGAAGACCAACTGCAAGGTCACGCACCCGGGCCGGGGTAATCCTCATAAACAATACAAGCTGGGGATGATGTGACAGAGAGCAGCCCTGCTGAGAAGAACTTGGGGGTGCTGGTGGATAAAAAGCTGGATACGAACCAACAATGCGCACTTGCAGCCCAGAAGGCCAACCGCATCCTGGACTGTATCAAGAGAAGTACGGCCAGCAGATTGAGAGGTGATTCTCCCCCTCTACACCACTCTGGTGAGACCCCACTTGCAGTGCTGCATCCAGATCTGAAGCCCTCAGTACAAGAAGGGCATGGACCTGTTGGAGCGGGTCCAGGAAGGCCACAAAAATGATCAGGGGGCTGGAGCACCTCCCCTCTGAAGACAGGCTGAGAGAGTTGGGGTTGTTCAGTCTGGAGAAGAAAAGGCTCCGGAGAGACCTTACAGCGGCCTTCCAGTGCTTAAAGGGGGCCTGCAGGAAAGGTGGGGAGGGACTCTTTATAAGGGCACATAGTGACAGGACGAGGGGCGATGGTTTTAAACTAGAAATGGGTAGATTTAGATTGGATATTAGGAAGAAGTTCTTTACCATAAGGGTGGTGAAGCACTGGAACAGTTTGCCCAGAGAAGTGATGGAGGCCCCATCCCTGAAGACATTCAAGATCAGGCATGATGGGGCTTCTGGGCAACCTGATCTGGCTAAAGATGTTCCTGCTCGCTGCAGGGGGTTGGGACTAGATGACCTTTGGGGGTCCCTTCCAGCCCAGTGCATTCTATGATTCTTCCCAGGAAACTCAAAAGTCACCGAAGCTAATAGGACTGCTCACTCAGAAAAGGAATAATAGTCTAAGCTATTATATGTCCAAAAGCTGAGCTTCTGGTCTAAATCAAGACATGGGAAAGGGATTCTCTGAAGGGGACTGAAGGTTGAAATGCCACTTTTCCCATCCTTCCTCCTGTCTCACAGTGATGCTTGCTAGTGATGGGCAATTTTAGCCACTGCATACATGTTCATATGAACACACTGGACACAAACTGGCACACCAAATGGGGAAACCCACAAGTTTAGAAAACTGTTTATAAATGTCCAGGCTACAAAGTCTGTTGCTCTATCAGAATCTTAAATCTAGTCCATTTCAAATTTAAATAAATACATGGAATCAACATTGCTTGGATAAAGCAGGGAGGAGGGGAAGGGGAAGAATAACCATGTGAAGTAAAATTGGGATTACAACAAAATCTGAAACCATTCACATGAACTTGGCCAAACTGATTATACTTCGACAGGTACAACACTGAAAAGTTATACTTTCACATTCCAGCTAATGCAAACTAGCCAGTGCTCTGAACAGGTCGCATAACATGCTTGCAGTACACTGTCATAAGGAGCTGAGTAGGTACACTTCACTTTGAGGGGCTGAACATTGCCATTATCTCAAGAGACAGCAACAAAAACCCAGTTTAAACTTCCTCCTTAATCTTGCTCTCTGGGGCTCTCTCCTCACACGCATTCTTCATAACCCACTCTTTACAGATAGTGACATCAGGTAAGCTCCAGCGGCTTGATGTGAATGCCAAAAATACCAGCCAAATCAAGCTAAAAAACCCACATCAGAAAAATTAAAAAAAAAAAAAATATCCCCAGGCAAAAAGTGGCTATATAACTGCTTTTACTCACTGTGAACATAAGGAATATATTTACATTATTTTCTTCTCTTCCCAAAATTTTACTTGTATGGCTACAGATAAATAGTACTCTGCATATCAACTATTTTCTCTATATAGTTACATGCCACAAACTCATGTCCATTGTAACAGCTCACTATCAGAATTCACTATATGGTGCAGATTGTTGCCCATTTAGTAGCCTCAAACTAACATATAATTATTTTGATACCATTTGCCAGCAACAAATTTTATTTCAAATCTGCCCCATTTTGTAAAAACCATCAAATGTGTTATTATTTAAGCTTTGTTAAGTACTGCCCCTTCAAAATACAAAAGACAAAGTTAACGACACACAACTTTTTAACCCCCATTTTTTCCCATATTTATGCCAGATATTACACACAGTCATAGTTTCCATTATTCATACTTGAAGCAGAAAGGTGCGTCCCATCCCTACTGA